AAGCAATATATTTAAGCAAAATTTCTAAACCTAATTAAAAATACGCAGAAGTAATTTCAGCCCTCTGCAGAAACAACTCATGTAGATTATACTATTTGAACTCAGCAGGGAACCTCATTAATTTTTAAAACTCTCTGACCCCAGTGCAGTTAAGGGTGTAAAAATAATTACAAATTAGGGTTGAGGGAGCACTGTTTTAATATTGCGTGTATGCTATCAGCTACACAACATTTTACCAGATATGGATATTTATTATACCTAAGCATAATTTTAACGTAGGCAAAATGAAGCTTCATGGTTAATTTTAAAAATGCAAATATTAGAAATATTGTATTTTTAAGAAGGTAACTATAGTAGCTAGTACTTCCATGGAAAAACCCTGCCTGCTTTCTGCAAACATTCTCGTAACACAAAGCACAGCAATTACAGGTTGTAAAAGCTAGTAACAGCCTGGATACAGCAGTAAACTCAAATATTCCTATAACAAGGCACGTTTGCAACCTAACAATTTCTAAGTTATTTAGAAGGCTATAAAATACTTGGCTGAGGGTATAAATATTCTCTCTTACCTAAAACTTGTCAGAAGAAAGATCCTTCTCCATTGTTGTCACCTCCAGTGCCCCCTCTTGCCACCATGGAGATTGGTTCTGCTATGTTTATTGCTCTGTGCCTCAGTTACAGCCGTGACACTAATCTGCCTGCACAGACCAGCAAAGGGGTGTGTGTGAGTGTGTGTGCGTGCATGGTGAGAAGAGAGCCTGCTGACTTCAGGACTGGGAACCTAAACCTCAGGCCAAGTCAAGGCTGAATGAAAATGATCAAAGCTCTGTCCCTCATCAACGGAGTAGACAAGAGTCCTCCCCCCTCCCAATGACAAGTAGGGCTGTCATTAGGGATTCCCACTGAAAAGCCTCTAAGAGAGGCAGACCTTCTCCATATTGCTAGTGCCTGCCCAACAGTCCGTGCAGAATACAGGTAGCTATTGTTCCTGAGACAGATATGTAGCCAGCCACTCAGACTCTGACAGATCTCAACAAACCAGTGAGCCTGCCTTCAGTTTAACTCTTTATCTGCTAGCACTTTACTTTTTACACAGATCTTCTTTTGCCCTGGAGAGGGAGGGGCAGGGGAAAAAAAAAAAAAAAGATAAAAAAATCAGTAAATTGTTCTGGTTTTGCTAAGAAAAATGTTTCAGGTTTCACGTACATAGGCAGTAATCCTATGCAAATTTAGGAGTATTGATTTTAATTTTGAAATCTCACCTAGTCTGCTGTTGGACAACACAGCAATAAGACTTCAGCAGTAAAACAGGATTCCAGTTCTCTAAGGTAAATAATCCTTGCTCTGCCTTTCTTTGAATTCTCATAATACATGGGGAAATAAAACAGTTTGAATATATAACATGGATCTTTGCCCAAATATTCTAGGTATTAAGAAACAGAGCAATTTAGTGCAAATGCTTCAGCAGTTTTTCCATCAGAAAACAGTTCTCAGCAGTGACTGGAAATGAACTTGGTGTCTCCAACAGAAAATTGTGCTACAGCAAGTAGATAGCCAATTATCTGGCATAAGAAGCAGCAGATACTCATTTCAGTCTTGCAGCGGTTTTATATTTCAATGAGGAGATTTTACTTGCACAAAAAGGTGGGTTTTTTTTTTCTTTTATATGACATGGAGCTTAAGAATTTATTCAGAAAGACACAGTCCATGAAGCTGTTTGACAAAATATCCTGACATTTACACTCTGTGTTGGACTTTCAGGAAGCAATGCACTATTATATGAAAAGCTAATGAGCCTGCATTCTGTATGAGTATTGTATAAGCTCAGCCTGTATGTAGACTTCAGCTTTAAAACACTTTTTCTCCTTCTATTTAAGCCAATCTTAACTTCATTTCAAGCAGGTTGCAGAAAGGTGCGTATGTGCATGGGTATACTTGCCTTAGGGTGGGTGGGTTGGATTGTTCTAAGGGAATTTTAAGCTGTAAAGGTTGAAGATTACCAGAAAATATTTCACATGGCAATAAAATTGGATTTATAAAACATAGGGTTTTAAAAAATGTTCAGACTGCTAAATCAGAGACATAACATCAAAACCAGTATTTTAACCTGGCAGAACCTATCAATTCAGAGAAGCCTCCCTAGCCATTGCATAAATAATCATTTTATCAGCAACTTCAAAACAACATGTTAAAAACACCACGTCAGTTATTTTGAAAGTTGCCAATGGTCACCTTATAGTGTTTCAAAGCAACCTTTTCTGCATGTTTGACAATTTAATTACACTCATACAAAAAATGCCATGCATCCAGTGCCTTTCAAAATTCTTCCAGTCCAAAGAGAAAACAAGCAGACAACCAGGAAAGGAAATAAGGGTTATTCAGTGTAACTCACTCTGTGTGGCAGAATACCTCTAGACTACCCAATGTGTTTTAAAGAACCAGGACACTGCATTCAGCACTGGTCCTGTCTAATTCCAGAGTATCTCATTCGTGTTAAATGGAATATCAGCTCTTAAGGACAGAGATATCCATAGGACTGTACTTTCTAGTATCAGCTTATGTAAATGCCTGGCATCATGTAGGGAAAAAAACCCAAATAACTTTCAATCATAAATATATTTACAAATTAATAGTTTTCATATATAAAAAGATTAATTTATTACAAATTCTAAAGCATTCTGCACCTGCACCAGCAAACTGCTGACAAACTGTTGTCACTAAACTGAGTTAAAAATTTCTGGGGAAATATATGCCAGTCAGATCCCCCGAGCTAGTGCAGCGTGCAGAAGAGCTGTACCAGTCCCTTGCAAATGACAATGTGGCCATGAAGCTGTGGAGTACATGTTTTCCTGCCTGGTAATGTATACCCTACCCAGCATACATATACCACTGCAAAATGGAGACCAGGGATACTGTGCTGTGAGAAGAATGGTCTGAAGTCCCTCTGAGGACCACGTGACAGGTTCCTGAGCACAGTCATATTCGATTTAAAAAACGACTGGTTAGGCCTTCCTCAGTGTAATACCCTGGGATATTTCACCCTGAACTGAGCCTCCCATACATCTTCCAACACCTGCTACATCTTCATCAGCTGCCGGCTTCGTAGCTACATGAACACGCGCGTCATTCAAAAACAATGCAGCATTAAAAAACATCAGTTTATGCAAGAAAGAAAAGGAAAACTTTCTGCAGCGAGCTCATGTCAGAGCATGGCACCCTGTGGGAAGTCAGAGAAGTCAACACTTGCTAAGAAGGCACGACCCCTGCCTGAAACACCCTTCCTGCTTTTACAGGAGGAAACCCAGGCTGTGTCTGTGAGGGAAACAACTCTCTTCAGGTTCTGAGACAAGAGGGAAGTATTCTGCCCAAAGACTTTCTGCACTCTCTGGAGGTCACCTTTGAGCAGGAAGATGGCCATTCTTCCCTGACAAGTCTACCACAAGTCACTGGTAATAGATGCCTTGCTATAAAGTACAAATTATGGGGTTTATGTAAAGGGTGATGTTTGTCTGTTGGTTCTAATGGATTATTTGGGAGGTTTTAACAACAAAAACACAGAAGCACAGAGAGAGAAGGAAATCAGAGCTGCTTAAGGGGGAAGAAAGGCAAGAGCTTTGAACTTTTTTTTAATATATAAAAATTGTGCAGCTCATCTAATGAAAGCAGGCATTATGAGCAAAGCATTGGATAACTAGTCTCATGTACCATGTGATATTTGAACAGTTTGAATTGATTTACCAAAAAGAGAGCATAAAGAAAGCCAGGTATGTCCTGTATAACAATCCTGCATCTGAGAAATCTGCTCGAGAACAGACTGCTGGAATCATTTCTTTCAGCTAACCCACACAGCCCCACTTTGGTGAACAAAGCCACATACTGGTATCACGTATCCAGTTTCCTTCGGAGATTCCATTTTAATGATTCCTTACTAAATACCTTTGTATTTAAAACTTATTTAGATATAAAAAAAGCACAGTGTTCCAGCAACTGTGTTACACAGGTGAAAAGCACATAATGTATTCAAGTACGCAACCTCAATTAACCTTTTGCCTCAGTTTGTGGACAAACCTATCCATGGAAAGTGAGCTCTCCTGTGATTAAAAATCAGTTTTAAAACTTCACTTTGTTTATGGCTACTTCCCTATATAAAAGAATATAATATAAGGGGATCTTCATGAGCTGTAATTCAATTTTAACTCACTGCTATTCTTGATCTTCATTTCCTTAATATAAAAGCTACTGTAAATCATCATATGAGAAAGCACTGGGCTTTTTTGTTGTTTTTAAACAGAATATATTTATTTAAAATGTGATAACTAGACTTCCTGTATCTCAGAAAATAATGAAAAACATAAGATACCAAGCATAAAGGTATAAAAATATTTAGACTGGAGCCAGTGCCTGTTTTGAATAGGATGTAGGAAAGTCCAGCGTGTAGTTTAGAAAAGAACTTACAACTAACATATGCTCAACTAAGTTTGTACACTGTAATGTAAACCAATAAGGAATTACAGTTGATAAGGTATCCTTAGTTTTCCCAAAATTTTTATTAATGAAATAGCTTTTCTTTAAAATGCTGTTCTAAAGAGCACAATTCCTCCTCCTCCCCCATTTTCCCCCACAACTCTTTCACAGAAACATAATTAGGGTATTGCATTCTTCACTAGATGCTTTGTGAAAGCAAATGTCAGGGATTACAACTCAGCAAGATAATTACAAACACTCTCCATAATAACATAGGAAACCAGCATCAGAGGTACATTTCACCAGTTCATATTCCTCTTACAGATTATACTTTTGATACATGATCTTTTGGGAAAAATAAGAAGTTGACAGTATCTTTTCCCACTCTCCCCCTTCCCTGATTACTTCAGCCCTAACATCAGCAGACAAACCAGTGTTCAAATAAACGCTTTTCTTTTGTAAGACTTCAGATTCTGAATCCCAAATACATACTGCACAAAACCTCCCTCCATTCAACACTAAGCCCAGAAACTTACCTAGCTAGCTGGTAGTACTGGTAGTACATGAATTACAGCAACAGGCATATTCTCACATGGTTGAGAAATTAAACCATCTCTTTTGAAAAAGTTCACTTTCTAAATTAATCTTGTACCCACTTCCATATCAAGACAAGAGTTAAATAGGATAAAGAGAACAAGGTATTTCCTTATTAAAGCAAACAAAGAAAACCCACAAAAAATATCCCAACCCCTCAAAAAAACACCCCCACCCCCCTAAATGTGATGAACATTAATAGAATTGTTCCCCTTGGTTCTTTAAGAACACTGGTTTAAGTAGCCAGACTACATTACAGATATTCCAGTTTGACAATTCACTTGTTAGCAGGAATTTATATTTAGCAATTGTTTTCATAGGATTATATGGATTTGGACCTACCTCCTGATCCACAGGAATTGCTGGTTTCAAAAAGCTGTAAGTAAAGTAGCTGGATGAAGAAAAACCAGTCAGGACTTCCCCTGTAGCTTTAACCTGCCATGGATAGTTTTCTTCTTTGGAATCTTTTGATAGAAGTCAGAACACAACATGATTTATTAACGTGCAAAGTCATTACAATTCAGAGCTAAAAATGTTATTGGACTTCCCTCCAGCTAGTGCTGTTTAAGAGAAAGCCTTTAAAGAGCAATTTAATTCCATTCCACAAAGTCAAATTTTCTCCACAGATAATTGGGTTTCATTATACATATAAAAAACTGCAATAAAGCCAATATGTCAAACTATACCTTTTTTAGGATTTATATTTATTGCTGACTGACCTGCTTTTGCAAGAACTGTATGTTTCTACACTTAACCTGAAATCTTTATTGTTAATAACATAAGCACACAATATAGTAGAATTCTCCAATGTACCATGAAATGTGAATATAATCAAGAACTCATCTCTCACATTTAAAGACAAATAATTTCATCCTGTCACTCTCATAGATTAAATATTTATACACAAACTTGATCCATAAGAGTTAAAATATTCACAATATTTTGAGAGCTTGAAACACTTAGAAAGTTCTTGCCTGGTTTGGGTCATTATCAGTATATTTTAAAACTGCCGTACCAAAGCCTGTTATTTTGTATACAATAGTATGTATTATCACTGGACATGTCTGTATTCAAAAAGTCTAAGAAAAACAATGCTCTTTATAACATGCTGGAACACCAGACTTGCAAAGCTTACACACTAACTACAGCACAACAACAAAACAAAGAAACCCAAAAGCTATCAAAATTGGAAGTGCAAAAATAGGTATTGCATTTCTCCACAATTGCAAAACTTCACAAAAAACCGCTCTCATTCAAGCCCTAATCTTGTTCACAGTAGAGAGTCATGAGTAAAAATAATTTTCAAGCTAAAGCAACCAAATGCAATAAGAATACTTACCAGATACTTTATCTTGCTTAGAACGCATGTCTTTTTTCTTTTTGGTGTTTTGTTAGGGGTTTTTCTCTGTTTTTTTTTTTCCTGTTTTATTTGTTTTAATAAAATAAGGAGATTGAAATTTAAAAGCTGTTTTAGTTACTGTCTTGCTGTTCCTGCAGCTCTTCAGTTGTAGGTACAGAGGAGCTTGGCTGGTATTGTTTTGAGATAAAGAGAGTGGCCTGTGTGAGCCAAGATATTCTGTACTGTCTGAGTATCTCTGCAGTGTTCTTAAACTGCTCCGCTGAGACAGGTATTTTTTGCTGTCTGTTGTCCAAACAGGTTCATCAGAGAGCTCTTACAGCCACCTTCATTTTTCAGTCGCGGAGGCCCTATGTGCTGAGAGGAGAGGTTTCTTTCTCTCCGTATTTATTTGCTTTTGGATTGGAGGAAGAGGCTCAGAGATTTTCAATTTGAGATCAAAGACAGACGCATGCAATGGGACGAAACATAGTTTTCTCAATTGTGCTCAGAATAGTAGTCCCTGAGTTCCCACATTCAGCGTTCCCAACTCCATAAGCTTCACAGGGAAAAGAAGATGGATAGTTATATATATACACGCACACAGGCGCACACAGACACACACATGCATTTTAAATATATTAGTTTCCCCCTTGCAGCACTACAGTCTCTCTATTGTCGAATAACAACTGTATCTGAAAAGAAAGCACTTAATAAGGCTAAGGTCAGACTGCTCAGACTTGGCATTTGCTGCGATAACAAATCAGAAATGATAGCATCGTACAGATTTATGAATTTTTTGCCCCCGCAGTCACAAACATCAGACGTTTACTTTATAAAGAAAGCTTTTAGATTCTTCCTGCAGTTTCCATAGTGATTTCATTTTTTTCCCCTTTTATCACAGATTGGCTGAAGTACTGCTACCCTTTGTGCTTTAAAAGGCTTGTGCTACCAACTGTCGATATAAAGGCACTGTAGCTAAAGCACACATGCAACACACACTGTCAAAAATAATTGAAACAGATAAATGCTGGCTAAAAAAGGTTTTGGTATTCTCTCTGCTTGTCCTGAAGAGTACAGTAGTATTTCATCTGAATAAATGTAATTAACTTGAGGCAAACATACTACTATTCTGTTTCCCATAACCTATGATACCTCTACTAGAACACTCGTCACACAAAAAATAATCTCTCCACAAAAAGCTTTAATAGAGCTTACATCATACAAAATGCCTATACTAGTTAGATATAAATGAAAGCACTTCCTTTTTTTTTTTTTTTTTGAACCTTTTAAAGACAATGCTTATGCCAATGATATTTTTTCTCTTTCTAATAAGTTTATTCTTTTAGAGAGCATGATGGCTTAAGGAACAATTACAGTGTCTGGCAAAACAAACAATGGTCTCTCCTGCTGGAAAGATAACCACCTTTCAAAGTAAGCGTAAAGGATTAGTTTCTATTTAACCCTTTGCTAAACAAATGAGACAGTTGTATCCTTAACAAAGCAGAACTCAGCTAAGTAAACACTTCTATTCAGTAATCATGCCTTCAAAAATGTAGTCTTTGGATTGCAGAATGCAAGCACAGTATTTTCTTATCCTTATCCAGCCTAAGGGAAAGTGGGTGCATGGTTAACCCTAGCCAGTTGTTCCAGTCTCATGAAAGTTTCTATTCTTGTAAGTCAGAAATGGTCTAATTTATTAAAAGTACTGAATTGATATCATGTGGTGACAAAAGTATTAAAAAAAAAAAAACAAACTTCAAGACAGAAGTTTTCCAGGTGACTATAAAAATAACAAGATTTCTTATTTCCATACAAAATTGGCAAACTTCATGCAAAATTCACAGGGACAAGTATTTTTAAAACCTAGAGAATACAGTACAATTAAACAGATGATTTAGAAAAAAAGAGAAAATCAGACAACTTTCTTTTGGATGTATTTAGAACAATGATTTTTTTTATTTCTAAACAGATTGTCTACAGGAAACTATCAAACTCCCTATTTTACTGTCATCTATTTGTGACGGAAATTATATAACTGACTTTTGCTGTTGGGGTATTAAAATTAACTGTTAGGCATTCACATCTACTAAACAGGCACTGCCTGTGAGCTTAAAGTATGCTAATATTACCACTTATAAAGTTTATTGAAAGAAAGAGCTTGCAGCACGGTTTAGGTGAAGAACTAAATGTAAATCAATTACCAATAGAGATTGAAAATAAAAACCAGATGCTTATTAAGATTATGTTGATTGCTGACATATTCCACAAGTGGTCCTGGCCAAAATTAGGACAGATGCTGCAGTTTTGGGAAAAATGCAGGTACAGCTGATGCTTCCCTGGGACAAGAGGGTGGGCTAGCAAAGCTCCTGAAGGTCCTGTTACCCCTTGGCAAGCAGCCACCAAGCTACCAGTCGTAGCAAACCTGACAGAATCCAGACCTATTCTGCATAGTTGTTTTCCACCACAACAGTCTCAAGGGTCATTTAATCAGCCAATTAAGCACTACATTCAAGTAATCAATGTCATCTGACTTATGATGATAAATATTTTCTTTGTGCAGATTTTTCACGCGCCGGTAATAAAAATAATAACCCATGCTAAATATGAGTGATTAGAACCCCGACTTTCCAATAGGATTATGACTTTTCACATTCCCTTTTTTAAATGTTATAGTTATTTTAAAAACCTGCATGCACACATACAAAACCTGAATTACTTTAAAAGAATTTCTATGCAACAAGGGGAAAACATTGTGGTTGTCTAAAAATAACTCATCAATAAAAACATATGAAAAGGTTTTGTCTTAGAAGAGTAAGGACGAGAAATCCTTTACAATACAAAAATCATTGAAGCCAGTTTCATCCTACCTAGAAACACTAAATCATGTTCTCATAGGACTTTCTTTCCAAACTTTACATATATCAGATGCTCAAACGGTTTCTGCGAGATTCACAAGGCAACTGACTTTCTGGGGATTGCATAAAACTGTTGGGCAATTTATCCACTGCCTTTCTCTAAGCAAGGAACCCTCGGGAAATTATTTTTCTAGAAGGAAAACACAAACTAAGTATTTTTTTTTACCATTAGAGACTAAACAGGGCATTTGAAATGAAGAGTTGACTAACAGTCTATGTTAAAAAAGAACTTCATGCTCCTTTACACACAGCTCTGCATAGACTCTCCTTGGAGAAAATGATCTTCAATACAGCAGGAATGTGCTAACTAAAGGAAGTAAATATTTGTTGCTATATGATTTTAGTTAAATCTCTTTCAGTATAAATGATTCTTCAGTCATGCAGCTGATGGGCATCCAGGACATTCACTCATTCTCTTCATCAAATAAGAAAAACAGGTCAAGCTCAGACTGTGCCAGTCCTTCCCACACACACACTGCAGGCAGACCTCACGCAGACACTGTTTGTCTTTCAGCTTAGGCAGAGAGGCTAATACTTTTAGATCTCTCAGTTATTCATTAAAATAGATAGCTAAAAAAAATATCTAAAGAGAATTCTCCTTCCTCAACAATTCTTCAGCAATGAGACCCTTTCTCTTCATCCTCCAGACTAGCAGGTAAGGAAAGGGGAGAACAGATTAGGTACCCAAAGAAACAGACTAATTCTGGGTTTCCCCGTATCACCTTGCAAACTACCCCACAAAAAGAAATGAAAAATACTTTGCCAGTGTCATTCCTGGACACATAGTGAGGGACCATATTCTATTTTAAAAAATAAAAGAAACATCCTTTATTTCTTTCACCTAATGTTTTCTTAACTTTTGCTTCCTGGGAAAAAACCTGCTACTTTCTTAGACTGTCCAAGATTGTCCTGTCCTCCACACCATGGGTGCTTTTTCAAAGACTGAAAATCTGCAACCTACCATGAGATGTGACATACAAAATGTTTTAAAAATTACAGTCATAGTTCCATCAGCCAAAACCTCTGCTCTCTTTAATCATCGCATGACAGCATATCTCAGATTGAAAGGGACTCATAAGGATCATCAAGTCCAACTCACTGGACTACCTGTAACTAAACCATATGACTAACAGTGTCATCCAGATGCTCCTTGAACTCTAACAACACTAAGGCTTAGTGCTGTGACCACTTCTCTGGGAAGAACCTTTTCCTAATGTGCAATCTGAACTTCCCCCAGTGAATCTTCATCCCATTTCCTTGTGTCCAAATGAACTCTTGACTTACTTACCCACCAGAGCTAGAAGTCAGAAGTCTATTTTCTACCAGCCAGTATCAAAGCTAGTCACTTATGCAGCATTAGGAATTCCCTATATAGGGTATCAGGCATTTCCTGAGATAGAAAAAACAAAGGTCTCCACTGAGATCTTGATACATGTATTTGGGGGAAAAAAGACAGCTTTTTAGACTATCTGTAAGATCACAAAGATATTATCTTATACAGTAAGTGGAATATAAGAAGTCACTTGCTTCCTAACAAGAAAAGAAATTACCAAAACACAGGAGGTGCACTGGGAGCTAGTTCTAAGCTCCTAAAGGAGAGCTGAAGACTAATTTTACTTGGGCCAGTGTTAGAGAATACAGAAGTTCCTCAATGATTTGTTTTCAGTGACATCCCAACTTGCTAAAATATGCAGATATAAAACTGTTTGCTGGGTATCTTCCTTAATGAATGAAAGCATCAGATGCATCCAGAAGAGTGCCAGCTCTGAATTGAGGAGATAACTAACTGCCTATGCCAGCCCAGTAGAAAATTTGCACAAAGATTTTTCCCTTCAGATAGATGGAGAGACATAACTGTGTACACAGAAAATCCTCAAGCATGTTTTATCCATTCTTTGTAAAAAGGCTATTTTCAGACATTGCAAATTTTTGCTAGAAGACAACTATTTCTACATTATCTACACGTTATCAGTATCTTTTTGTACATTACATGGGAGTGTGCTTATGCATGACTACTTCTATACATGCATCTGCTACAGCTGTGAATGCAACTATCTGTAGTTACTACAATACATACATTAAAAACAACAACCAACTTTGGTACATCAGCAAGAATACACACATGAAACCCTTGCCTTAATACCTGAGAACTTTCTAAAAGGTCATCCAGCAATATGATGCACACCTATGATGTTATTTGGTCCTCTGCCCTTTTCCATGGCTGAGAAGAATGTCTGGAGGGTTAAGATGAAAAAAAATTGGGTTTCTTTTATTTTATTGTTTTTTATATATTGCCGTCTGTTTACAGAGACAAGCACAAAAATGTTCCTACCAGTGAAAGCAGAGTTTATTTATGATTTCAAGATGATTCCTAGCTCCTAGGAGAATCACAGTCTTGACAAGATACCCAAGAATGTTCTGTGTCCTACAAAGATTTTTAACACTACCAAAAAAGCTTACATTGCAGCAAAAGAATGACACAGCTTAGGACCAACCTTTAGATTGGAAGAATCCATGGGAGGAACTTGCTTGGAATCCCTGACTACAGTAAGGTTAATTTTAATTATATACCATAATAACAAGAAGTGGCCTCAAGAAGAAGTACAAAACCAGCAGCATTTAAAAAAGGAAAATCACATTCAACACACATACAGACAGAGCTAACTTTACAGTAAGTATAGATGAAGTATCTGTAGTTTCTGGTGCCAAGAAAGCTCCTCATGAGTTCTGTAAATTTATTGTTCATTGTTTCTATGCTGCATCTTTTAATTTTATTGATGGAATTTTCCAACAGTACCTCTGATTTTTAAAAAATGTGATCTATTTGCCATGGGTCTGAAACAAGAGAAAACAAAGAAATGCAATGCTCACCTTCCAAGGAATGCTGAGAAAGGGATCTCAGACATAGAGTCTTTCGTGATTGATACCCATCTGATTAAATATGATGAACCATAAAACCAGGCACCCCAAAACCCCAACATTTTACTCTGTCCTCCCACCCTAGAAAAATGTAATGCATTTTACTGTGTAATTTGTCTTTACTTATGAAATGTTGCAAGCAAGCCAAATGAGTGTGTTTTTAAATATTTTGCCTTTATACTGAAGCCTGAAAAAAATACCTGAAGAAAATATCTTAAGAAAAACATTTTACATATGTTAATATAATAAGCATATATGCTTCAGAAGGGGAAGACCTGTACAACATTTGCATTTCAAAGACTATGGCAATCAAGAAAACTGGTAATGTGCAAAGCCCTACTAGTTTTATCCAAGTACAAGCTAGCTTTTTCTTAAGATAAATTGTAAGTGTTTTTAAGTTATTTTGTTAAATGCCTTATTACATTCAGGTGAAGCTTTGTGAAAATCTAAGGTAATCAATACTGAGCCTTACCCCATAAGCTGTGAATTAAGATAAAACTTGATAATTTTAGGATACACTAGATCTTTTAAAATAATACTTAGCATTTATTACCTACACTAATTAAGCTTCAACGTGCCTGTGAGGCAGGCAAGTAAAACCTCATTTTACAGACAAGAACATTTAGAGTAGACAGAAAGGTTATGTACATTGTCACTGATTAGAAATAAAATCTCTGACCCATAGTTGGAATTCTTTGAGCAAATTGTCAGTGCACGTCCACACTGTCAAGTTCCTCCTTCAACGATTTAAACAGTTTGCATTGAACATGGAACAAGGAAAAATTAGACAAATACAGAAATGTGAACATATTCTCAAGCCAAAAAACACTCCAGACAAATAACATTAAGAGAAGTCAATGACATGCCCTGATTACTTCCAGCTCCTTAGAGTTCAAGGAAATACAAAGGTGGAAGGGAAACTGGGAGACATAAATATTGATAATTACAAAAATACTGAATTCTGTCTAGATCTGTCCAAGGACTTGATGACAATTTGATTATTAGAGTTCTGTGGTTACCTGCAGATCAGACGCAGTAGAGAAGTGACCATGGAGGCGATGCTGGATTCCACCGAGTAGAAAAATATCCCTTAGGGAAGTAGTTTGCTCTTTTCTGAAGAAAAAAGAAAGTGCTTGGTGTTCTCTTGGATAGAAAGAGTGATCTATCTGTGGTGTTTGCTCCCAACTGAAAGAGTGACTTATTTACAAAGTCTTTCCAAACTCAGCTGTATGAAGAGTTGATACTGTTGTTAACTTCATCTGGATGTACCCTGTCCAGTGCACAAACTGATGCAGAAGCAATGAGCAGGTGAATG